GTTGCAGCCATCATTGTTGTTTTGGCGGGTCCGGGCTGGGGATTCGAACCCGCCACCTTAGGTGTACGTGGCTGGCGCCTTAGCCGGTTGAGCTACAGGCGCCGAGCCTTTTGTTGTTGTTCTTGAGACTGAGTCTCACTATGTTGCCCTCCCAAGTAGCTGGGACTACAGCTGCCCGGCACAATGCCCGGCTATTGGTTGCAGTTGTCATTGTTGTTTAGCAGTCCTGGGCCAGACTTGAACTCACCAGCCTCGGTGTATGTGGCTGGCACCCTACTCAACTGAGCTATAGGCGTCAAACCAGAAAGTTCTTGATAGAACATCCAATGAGGATTACTGGAAATAATACAAGGGATCAAAATGGGACATTATATATCAATATAATATCAATGGGACATTATATTATCACATTCTCCTTTAAATCATTGATACAATTAACTTTGTTGATGATGAGTCTGTACTGCTGACTGCTGTGCCATATTGCTTAGCCACCCCAACTTTCCTTCTGAGCCCCACGTCTGGGGTTCCCATGGTCCCTCACACCTACTATGACTCTAACTGGCCCATAGTGCCTTGCCCATACTTGGTACTTCTCTCTGGTCCTCTTCTTAGGGACAATCCCATAGTTCCCCAATCCCTACGACAGAGGCTTGGGCCTTCTCCTAAATGCCTCTCTCACTCTACTGTCCCCATGGCCCAGCAGCCCCAAAGACTTCACTAGGCCTCTTGAGCATCTCTCCATCTCTCTTGCCCCCTCCTCTCCTCTCTACACCAGGCTTTGTCCTTGCCCACTGCCTCCCTGGGATCTCTTCTTCTAAGCCTGAGCCATCCTCCACAGGGTGGCCAGGGACATCTTTCTATATCTAATGCCATCCTTCAGTCAACCCTCTGGGCTCTGAGAGTTCCCTTGGTCATGCCCAAGCTTCACTCCGGAACCTTGGGGGCTTTGCCTGCTCTGGAGCATGGCAGTATCCTTATAGAGAGACCAATCCAGTTGTCTACCCTAAGTGGCAGAGTAGTGGGGGAGAGTGGTTAGGGAACCCCCAGGGTTATGTCACTCAAGACCCCTGGGGAGGGGCTGGAGTTGAGACTATCAGGTAGAGGGGGAGTGGAATATGGAAGCCACATTGGCTTTTTGCCTGTCCAGTCTCCTTTACCCCTTCCTGACAGCACATTGTTTCTAGAAGAACTGGTGTGCCCAATACATTTGCAAGAGATTAGGATGAGGTTGACTCTACCCTCAGTTCTAGGAGTGGGCTCTGATCCACTTAAACTAATCAAGGTTCCCAGCCCTCTGGCAGTTGATCCATATAGAGGTGATCTTGTGATCTAAATCCATCCAATCAGTGCCTGGGAGTATTTTTTATTTGTAGAGACAGAGTCTCACTTTATCGCCCTTTGTAGAGTGCCATGGTGTCACAGCTCACAGCTCACAGCAACCTCCAACTCCTGGGTTAAGCAATTCTCTTGCCTCAGTTTCCCAAGTAGCTGGGACTACAGGTGCCTGCCACAATGCCCAACTATTTCTTGGGTTGCAGTTCAGCTGGGGCCAGGTTTGAACCCGCCACCCTCAGTATATGGGGCCAGCACCCTACTCACTAAGCCACAGGCGTCACCTTGCCTGGCAGTATTGGAGCCCAGCCCCTTCTTTCTCTGGACAATAGGACATGTGGATGTGCAGCCTCAGGGCTGTCCTGAAGCCAGAGACCACACTAAGAGGAAGGCAGAGCAGGGAAAGCTACAGAAAAATGCGGCCAGAATCCTATGGACATTCAAGGACTCCTGGAGCAAAATGTACCTGAAGGCTATATTAACAAAGCCCATAAATTATCATTTCCACGTAGACTACTTGAAATTTTAGCTACTTACAACTAACGTAAAAATCCTCACCTTGGCTCGACACCCGTGGTTCAGTGATTAGAGTGCTGGCCACATACACTGAGGCTGGCAGGTTCAAACCCAGCCCAGCCTGCTAAAGAAAAACAATGACAACTGCAACAAAAAAGTAGGTGGACGTTGTGGCAGGGTGCCTGTAGTCCCAGCTACTTGGGAGGCTGAGGCAAAAGAATTGCTTAAGCCCAAGAGTTTGAGGTTGCTGTAAGCTGTGACGCCATGGCACTCTGCCAAGGGTGACATGGTGAGACTGTCTCAAAAAGAAAAAAAAATCCTCACCTCTCCAGAGTCCCTTCCTTAAGTCACTAGATAGGTGTTGACATTCAAAACGTTTAACTACTATTACAACTAGGGCATTGAACAATCAGAACAGACTACAGGCGAGGGGTCCTCAAACTTTTTAAACAGGGGGCCAGTTCACTGTCCCTCAGACCATTGGAGGGCCGGACTGTGGGACCTGGGACAAGTTGGCTGCTAAGCAGGACAGGCAGTGGTGGCAAAAACACCAGGCAGGCTGGATAAATGTCCTAGGCGGGCTGCATGTGGCCCGCGGGCCATAGTTTGAGGACGCCTGCTACAGGTCATAGCTGTGGATGGACCTGGGCTGTGGAGGATTCTGCAGAACACAGGAAGGTCTGGGGCACCCTGGGGAGGGGCAGAGCTGAGAAGCACACAGAGAAGCCATTATTTACCAGCTGGCGCAAAAGACCTTGATATTTTAATGATCTATGCAGCTGTGCTCATACAAACCAACTAAATGTGATCCCTTGTGAGAACCCATAGCTGGTCCTGAAATGAGGCTTTATTTGAGTCTGAATGAGAAGGGGACATTCAAACAAAACAGGAAGAAAGGCCTGGGCTTGGTGACAGGCTGCATTTCCAACATGGGCCTGGCAGGGAAGGTGTGAGGGTAGGCAGGACCTGAGGCAGGCAAGAGGCTCAGGTCAATTACTCCTTCCCAGTTTCCTTAGGCTCATCCTTTTTCTCTAAGTCTTTGGAGTTGTGCTTGGAACCCTGAGACTGTAGGCTTGAGACCCTGGAAGAGCCATAGGTGTAGTAGGAGTCTGAGGCGATGATGTTGTTGATCTTCCAGCGGAGCATGTTGCAGCTCCTCACCATGACGGGCCACAGGAGGCAGATGATGATGTACAAGATCACCAGGCCCAAAAATATGCTGGCTGACACCTGCAGGCACCACGCAACAGATGTGGGTGCACAGCCTGGGGGCCCACAGCCCACCCAGCAGGGCAGCTCCTGGACAGCTGCTCACCATGACGATAAAGAAGGCCCGTTCAGCACTGAGCGGGAGCCCATGGATGTGCAGCAAGAAGATGAGCTTGTAGTTGCAGTATGTGCTGTTGTCCACACCTCTGGGGACAATGGGGTCCAGGATTTAGGAAGTAATCATGTGCCCCATGGAAACTTCCACCCTCCACGTAGGCCATGCTGGCTCACCTATTGCTCACCAACACCTTGAAGAAGTAGTCAGGGGCGACGATGCTCTTGGGAATGGTGTCATAGCATGGAGAGTTCTCCTCACACAGCCACCTGCAAGCCCAAGTTCAGGCACTTGTGCTACCAACCATGCCTAGTATGTACTGACCCCTGATTTATTCCTCTGCCCTACACACTTGGGGTGAGCCCCAACTTCCCTCATTCATTCTTCTAACAATGTTTACTGAACAACTACCCTGCCACAGGCTGCTTATTCATTTCCTCCTTCCTCACACCACATGCCAATCATCTGTTACTATACAACCATCCAGATCATGGACTGTGTGCCATGATGTGCCAACTCTTTATTCCTTGCTATCTTCATTCTTTCACTCCATGAATATAGCTTGAGCACTTAGTAGGTACAAAGTCACATCTTTTATTTATTCTCACCTTTATTCATTTTCCAACAAACACAGGTTAAAGACTGACTAGGTGCAAGTTGCTTAATTTGTTCACTCACTGCCTTCATTTGCTCATGGCCTTTTCTTCCTATCACTGAATCAAATATAGTTATAGAGCCCCTATACTAATTTGTTCCTCCATCATTTTATGTGTTCATTAATACCTTCATTTAAATGTCAATAAATGCCTACTATAAATTTATTCATTTGTTCATTGTTCATTCTCTCAGTCAATAAAAACTATGCTGGGGCCAGGCACAGTGGCTCACTCCTGTAATCCTAGAACTCTGGGAGAAGGATCCTCCTAGGGAGATGGTTCATCTGAGCTCAGGAGTTCAAGACCAGTCTAAGCAAGAGCAAGACCCTGTATCTACTAAAAATAGAAAAAACTAGCCTGGGGCCCTGGTGGGTGCCTGTACTCCCAGGTACTTGGGAGGCTGAGGTAAGAGAATTGCTTAAGCCCCAGGGGTTTGAGGTTGCTGTGAGCTATAACGCCATAGCACTCTACCCAGGGTGACAGAGATTCTGTTTCAATAAATAAATAAATAAGTAAACAAATAAATACCATGTTGAGTCTATTCAGGACCTGGTCCTGTGAGGGAGACAGACTCCACCCAAGATAGTGACATTCCACGGTGGTCAGGGCTGGGACAGAGGGGATACAAATAGAAGAGTGGAAGCAGGATGGGGCTACGGGCAGAGGTGTCAGAGTGGGATATAAGTCACAGTTAGATGGGTTGCAGAGGGATGGGGGAATTATAGACAAAGGAGTTAGGACCAGAATAAGGGGCACAGGCAGAGCTGTAGGGCCAGAACTGGTGAGGCACAAGAGGCCAAGGGAGGCAAGAGGAAATTACTTTCCCATGCTGAGCAGAAAAGTTCTCCGGATGAAGGGGCATCTGAATTAAGGCCTGAAGAGACAGTAGCAGGGACCAAGCATTCCAGATAGAGGGTTCAGTTTGTATAAAAGCCGTCCCCATTTGAGGAACACAAAGGCAGTCAGCGTTTGGGTTGGGAATCAAGATTCCTCCCAGAGGCAGAAAGGATAGTCAAGTCCTGTGGTTTTGTGGGCAGGTGGGGGCCCAAGGGGCCTTGTGGCCGGACCACGTACTCACTTGATGCCCGAGCTCTGATGGGACATGATGTGAAAGGCCAAGTCTCTGGTGGTTATTTTGGAACTGGTGGTCCATATGAGGCTGTGAGTCCTGTGCAGGACCGTGTACTTTCATCAGGGGACAGGGCTCCGCGTGCCAGGGCAGCAGATGTGGCTGCAGGCACCAAAACCGGCCTGCGGTGCGAGCAGGGGCGGAGCCTTTGGTGGGATGTGGCCTTGCTGTGAGGGCGGGGGGCGTCACACCAAGTGCGCGGGGAAGAGCCTAGTTGTGTGAAGGTCAGATGGGGAGGTTAAGATGTGTCGCTAGAGTGAGGGCTGCTTGGCTGGAAAGTAGAAGGGGCCTGCAGGGGAAGAAAGGCACGTTATGTGGGAGGGAGGGCACAGGGATTACCTGTCCAACGGGCTGTTGAAGCGGTAGATTTCCTCCTCGGTGTAGTCCCGGATGCTGCCTAATGTGGGCCCTCCGCCCACCACCTTCAGCACAAAGCTGCCAGGGCCGAAGTGCACATGGATTGGTCTTCGACTCCAAGTGCTGCATCCCTTCTCCAACCCCCTTCTCCTGCCCTAGCTCATGCCAGCCATGCCGTTACCTGCCCTGAAAACTGCCAGAGTCTCCCGTCACTAAATCTTGAATCAAGAAGAAGGGATAGAAAGCTGTGGAGTCGGAGGGAGTTGAGACCAGAAGAAATTAGCTTGGCCAGAAAAGTGGAGGACCAAAAGCGGAAGAGAGAGAGGTGATGGAAGACCAAGGGTAAGAGCAGGGGATGGGTGGGCCATGGGAAGGTAAGCCGCCGGGAGAGGGCAGAGGTGGGGGCAAGAGGCCAGTGAGCTCTAGAGAGGACTGGATACACACTGTCACGGAAGAGAAAGCAAGGCATCTCGGCGTCGGTCTGTAAACAGTCAAAGTAATGTTTGTTCTGCAGACGGTTGTACTTCAGCGTGTAGGTGATGTCAAAGGCCAGGCGCTTGCTTGGGGGACAGCCAATAAACACAGGCACCATCAGGTTGCCCTGAGGGGGAGGAGAAAAGTCTCCTGTTGGGGGTGGCCAGGGTCTATTCAGGTCCCTCCAGACAGGGAGGACAAGCCCCCTCTTACACATACCACCGCTACCTACCTGACTCACCCTCACCACCTGGCTCAATACAATCATCATCAAACACTACTTTTAAAAGCATACAGTTATGTAAGCTCTTATTGTGTACGGGCACAAAGTGATTTTGTAAAAGCTTTACATATTCGAATTTATTTATTTATATATTCGTTATTTTTTTTTTTGAGACAGAGTCTCACCATGTCACCCTCAGTAGAGTGCTATGGCATCACAGCTCACAGCAACCTCAAACTGTTGGGCTTAAGCAATTCTCTTGCCTCAGCCTCCCAAATAGCTGGGACTACCAGCGCCTGCCACAACGCCCCGCTATTTTTTTGTTGTTGTCGTAGTTGTCACTGTTTGGCAGGCCTGGGCTGGGTTCAAATCTGCCAGCCCTAGTGTATGTGGTCGGCGCCGTAACCACTGCACTACAGGCACCAAGCCCATATTCAAATTTATTTTCATTTATTTATTTAGAGACAGAGTCTCACTTTGTCGCCCTTGGTAGAGTGTCACGGTGTCACAGCTCACAGCAACCTCCAGCTCTTGTGCTTAGGCAATTCTCTTGCCTCAGCCTCTCAAGTAGCTGGGAGTACAGGCACCTGCCACAACACCTGGCTTTTTTTTTGTTGTTGCAGTTTGGCCAGAGCTGGATTCGAACCTGCCACACTTGGTATTGGGGCCAGTGCCGTACTTATTGAGCCACAAGCGTCGTCCCATCAAATTTATTTAATCCTCAAAATAGCCCTGTGTGGTAGAGACTAATAACCCTGTTTTATTTATTTTTATTTTATGTATTTGAGACAGAGTCTTACTCTGTTGTCCTGGTAGAGCGCCAGTCATAACTTACAGCAACCTCAAATTCTTGGGCTCCAGTGATCCTCCTGTCTCAGCCTCCCAAATAGCTAGGACTATAGATGCCCACTACAACACCTGGCTAGTTTTTCTGTTTTTAGTAGAGATGGGGTCTTGAACTCCTGAGCTTAAGCAATCTACCTGCTTTGGCTACCCAGAGTGCTAGGATTATAGGCATCAGCCACCATGCCCAGCCAATAACCCTATTTTAGAGATGGCAAAAGTAAGGGACAGAGAGGTCAACCAATTTATTAAGCATCCAAGGTCACATGGTGGGTAAGTTGTAGCGTTGGATTGGAACAGACAGGTTAACTGCAGTTGCCTCTAGAATAAGACATAGAAAACAACCAACAGGCTCGGCGCCTATAGCTCAACCGGCTAAGGCGCCAGCCACGTACACCTAAGGTGGCGGGTTCGAATCCCCAG